AAAACACATAGGGGCCCTTTAAAAATAGCAATTTGAGAATAGCTAAGGTCTTTCTAAGAAAAAATAATTAAACATAAAAGCCACAAAAGAAAAAGGTGAGTCCAGCTTCCTAAAAATCCAAATGGATTTTTGGAAATCCAAATCCACATGGAGAGAAAACAATAATAAACGAGGTAAAAATACAACAAACTGGGTGGGAGTGGAGGGGGGAGAAAACTACAGCTTATGTCAGAGAATAAGAAGTAAGTTCCTTAATATTAAAAAGAGCTTTGGGGCACCTGGCTGTCTCAATCAGGGGAATGTGCAATTCCTAATCTCGGGATCATAAATTCAAGCCCCATATCAGGTGTCAAGATTACTTAAATAAATTGTTTTAAGAGCTTCTAGGGGCACGTGGGTGGCTCGGTGAGTTACGTATTTGCCTTTGGCTCAGATCATGATCCCAGGGTCCTGGGATGGAGCCCCACATCGGGCTCCCTGCTCAGCGGGGAGCCTGCTTCTCCCTCTCCCTCTGCCTGCCACTCCCCCTACCCCCACTTGTGCTCTGTGTCAAATAAATAAAATCTTTAAAAAACACTCTACCTTTGCACGCCCTGTGACTGGCTATTGTACTTCTGGGTCTGCTCGTCTCTGCACCAGGGTGTTCATTACACTGTTCCTCAGATCAGGGCACTGGTTCCCTTAAAAAGAAGAACCTGGCTGGCTTACTCCTTAGAGCATGCGACCCTTGATCTCAGGGCCATGAGTTCAAGCCCCATGTTGGGCATAGAGCTTATTAAAAACAAAACAAAAAACAAGGTGGTGAGAGCTGCCCTACCCTGTGACTATCTTAAAAACCCTCGACTTGACTGTAAATTAGGATATTGAATGGCAATTAAGTCCTGCATTGGGCTCCCTGCAGGGAGCCTGCTTCTCCCTCTGCCTGTGTCTCTGCCCCTGTGTCTCTCATGAATAAATAAATAAAATATTAAAAAAAAATAGGACCCAGTTTCCTCCTAGTCAAATCTAGGAGAGGGGATGGTGTCTTGGATCAGCAGGTGTTGACATGGGGGCTCCTGATCTTGCTGTGTCACCGAGGGCAAGTGACCCTACCTCCTGCTAGGATGACCAACTGCCATGACTTGCTCAGGACTGTCCCATGTCCCAGGTACATTGGATGACAGGTCACAGTACCTCTAGGCCCCGGATGTTTTGTCTGCTAGATTGTGCATAAGTCGCAGGCATGCAGGTGGGGATGAGGAGAAATGAGAGCATCCCGGATGGCCTGTGGAGTGTCGGGGTGAAAGGTGGGAATCAATGAACCTGGAAGGACGTCCTATGAGCAGGAAGGTAGGGACAGATGCACAATAGGTGTCGGGCCCTTTCCCATCACCCTCAGGGGGGGCCAGGCCAGCCCTGGGGATAGGTGAGTAAGGACATTCAGAGCAAGGGGGGGTGAGTCTGCCAAGGCTGAGGGAAGGTGCAGACCCTCTGTGTCCCCACCCATGAGCCTCCCAATCCAGCAAAGGGAAAGAAGAAAGAAAGCAGGGTGCTGACAAAAGGTAAGAGGTCAGGAGGAGCTGAGTTCAAAGCTGCCTCTTCTCTGGCTGTGTGGCCTTGGGCAGCTGACTGCACCCCTCTGGGCTTGTGTCCTCATCTATGAAATGGGCATTTTTATTTAAATTTTTTAAGATTTTATTTATTTATTAGAGAGAGAGAGCACAAGCAGGAGGAGTGGCAGGGAGAGGGAGAAGCAGACTCCCTGCCAAGCAGGGAGCCCAATGTGGGGCTCGATCCCGGGACCCTGGGTTTATGACCTGAGCCAAAGGCAGACACTTAACCAACTGAGCCACTCAGGTGCCCCTGAAATGGGAATTTTAAATGCACTTGCTTCACAGACAGGGCTGGATATGTTGGGCTCTGTAAAGCTCCCAGCGTGGGTGCCCTGCTGGGCTGCAGGGAACCTTGGGGTAGGGGGTGGGCATCGTCCACCCAAGGCAGTTAGCCCGCCCCCACTGGGAGCAGGGAGGGCCCTTGGGGGAGGCAGTGCTGCTCCAGGGAGGAAAGCTCAGCACCCTCCTCCCACCTCCCCACCCCTGCACGCAGCCAGAGAAGTTGAGGCTGCGCATGTCCATGCTCAGATGCTTGCACAAAGACACCCCAGAAACACACTAAGGAACACAAAAATGCACAGAGACCCAGATGGACCCGGAGACACCCCGACAAGGAGACATACAGACTTGCGGGTATACCCAGCAGGCCCCCTCTTCTGAGCCTTTCTTGGACAAGCTTCATTTCTCCCCATTCTCTGCACCCTTAAAGAACATCCGTGGGACACTCATTGTGTACCGGGCCCCGTCTCCCGCGTTAGGGTCACCGGGGGATCAAGGCGGAACCCCCTAGCCTTGAGGGGTGAACATCTTCCAGGGGGAGGCTGGCAGGCACAGGTCTAAAAACTGAGAGGGAGGAGGGCTGAAGAGAGAGAGCTGGCGAGGGGGACAGGCAGGGGGAGGAGAATGGGTCATGTGGGGTGAACCTTTCACTAAAGACCCAAGGGAGGGGGGAAGCACCTCGTGGACTCGCAGGAAGGGCGTCCCAGGCAGGAGGAACAGCCAGTGCAAAGGCTTCTCCACTCCCCATTCTATCTGCTCCAACCCTCCCCAGCCCTGACTCAGGCCCTTTGGATGGGGAAGCACGGAGACAGAGGTCCCTCCAGGTACGCCCCCCCCCACACCTGATGGCCTGGTTATCCTCCATTCCCCGGATGATGACACCACGGGGCTCAGAGAGGCTGTGTCACACAGCCGAGGTCACAGCACAAACATGGGCCCAGGTCTTTGTGAATTGGAGCCCCCTCACCCCCCATTGAGGCCAGAAGTCTTGACTGGCAAAGGCTGAGCCAGGAAGGACAGTTGGCCACAGGTCGGGGACAAGAGGCCTGGCGTGAGCCGGGCAGTGCTGGGCAGAGAGAGGCAGGGACAGGCAAGCATCTGGGATGGCAGTCCTCACCCCGCTGGAACAAGGGAGCGGCAGCCCCGGGGACCACAGGAGGGGGCCAGAGGTCCGGAGGAGGGGGGCACCCCGCAGGGGGTGTGGGTCTGACCTGGATGGGGCTCCCGGCTGCTGGTTTGGAAACTGGGTCCGGATGTGTGTGTTGGGGGTAAGGAGGGGGTTCCCAGGGGCACGAACAGGTGTCTGGGTGGGAGGATGGGGTGTCTGTGCGAGTCTCGCGTTCTGCAGGAATGAATGATGACACACTTGGTGGCTTAAAACCACACACATTTAGGGGGATCCCCGGGTGGCTCAGCGGTTCAGTGCCTGCCGTCAGCCCGGGGCGTGATCCTGGAGACCTGGGATCGGGCTCCCTGGGTGGAGCCTGCTTCTCCCTCTGCCTGTGTCTCTGCCTCTCTCTCTCTCAGTGTCTCTCATGAATAAATAAATAAATAAAATCTTTAAACACACACACACACACATTTATTTATCTGATCGTTCAGGAGCTCTGAGGTCCAACACGGATCTCACTGCGCTGAAATCAAGGTATTCGCAGGGCTCATTCCTTCTGGAAGCTCTCAGGGAGAATGTGTTTCTGGCTTCTAGAGGCACCTGTTTCTTTGGCTCGTAGCCCCCTGATCTCCACTTTCCCAAATCAACACTATAGCATCTTCCACCTGGATCAGGGCTTAACGGTCTCCCCAGGCACAATGTGTCCCCCCTTCGGGCACAAAAGGTGTGAAAACCTGGAGGGGAGGAAGAAGCAAGGAGCTCCCCCTCTCTCCCTCAGGTCCCAGCTTTGGGCCTCCTTAGGGTCTGCGCTGGGCTTGCCAGCTGAGAAATGACTGCATCTCTGCACTCCCACCAACCAGCCAGGTCCTGGCCTCCCCTGATGCCCAGAGCCCGGGCCACATAACCCCTAGATCCCTCTGGAGTCCCTCCCTTCACTCCTGTCTGCACCCCCTCCACCAGGCTCCAGAAGAACCCAATGCAGAGTCTAATTTTAAGCCTGTGCCGCTCCCCAGGGAGCCCTGCAGGGCCTTCAAGTGGCTGGCCCCACTCGGCTGTGGCTCTTCACTCACCTCTGGATCCTAACTCGGCTTAATGCCCCCATCCATTTACCTCTCAGATTCAGATGTCACCTCCTCTAGGAAGCCTGTCCTGAATGTTCCATGTTCACACAGGGAGTGGGGGCGGGAGAAGGAGGGCAGAGGGCAGCCAAGAAGCAGCCCAACTGCAGAAAGTTCAGCTGCATCTCTTCCTGCCAGGCTGACCCCTTCCTCCAGCCACCCCACCTCCCCCCCTGAAATCTGTCTCTGACCCTGGCCCACTCACATCCTCTTTCAGGGCACCCCCCCTCCACTTCTCTGGGGGATCTGCTGCTTCTCCCCTGGGGCCTGGTCTCCCCCATTCCACAGTGTCTCCCATAACTATTAATACAAGTGGCTGCCATGCTCTGAGCACCCCCAGGGGCAAGCAGTATGCAGCCCTAGCAGCTATACTCGAGAAAGTGGCTTTATGATCCTCCTTCTCCACCATGCACAGAGGAGCTTTGGGGGTAGAGGAGTGAGGTGAGGGGGGCTCTGCAGAGGGCCCTGAGGTCTGACGGAGAAGGATGCACGCATTGAAAAGGGAAAACAGGGATCCCTGGGTGGCGCAGCGGTTTGGCGCCTGCCTTTGGCCCAGGGCGCGATCCTGGAGACCCGGGATCGAATCCCACGTCGGGCTCCCGGTGCATGGAGCCTGCTTCTCCCTCTGCTTGTGTCTCTGCCTCTCTCTCTCTCTGTATGACTATCGTAAATAAATTTAAAAAAAAGAAAAGAAAAGGGAAAACAGTCTCGTAGAAGAAATAGCAGGTGCAAAGCCCTGGAGCCGGGTTGGGAGGCACAGGTTCTCTGCCCCCTTTCCCTTCCCACGTGTGGAACTCAAATCTCAGCGACGTGAAGCAACTTGCCCCCGCCCCGCCGCCGCCTCCACAGCTCTGCCTCCTGACCGGGGCCCCCACAAAATCGCAGCCTCCGCCCGCCCGCCCTCCACTACTCCCGACCTGCAGACCGGGCGCTCGGCTCCCGCGCGCGCTTCGGCCCCAACCAACCACGAACTGGAGCGGCTCAGTGTGCGAGCTGGGACAGGTCCCCAGGCTCGGGGGGGACCCGAGGTGGCCTCCGAGGCCTGACGCCGAGTCCCGGCCTCCCCAGCGACGCCAGCAGACCAGGGCGCCCGCAGTGGGTATGCAGATGCGCGGGTCGGAGCCAGGCCGGAAGGGGGGACCCGGGAGGGGATCGGGCGCACGTGCGGCGAACGGAACAGAACCGCGGGCCGGACCGAGCGCGGCCGCGCTGCGTTCAGACGCGAGAGAGAAGGCGCGGGCCAAGGACCTGCAGCTGGATGTAGGCCAAGCGCGCCTCCGGGCGGGCCAGGGGGCGGGGGCGGGGCCTGGGCGCGGGGCGGGGGCGGGGCCAGGCCCGGGAGGGCGGGGCCAGGCCCGGGAGGGCGGGGCCAGGGTGTGGTCTGGGCGGGGCCTGGGCGGGGGCGGGGCCGGGCCGGCCGCGCGGGGCGGGGGTCCACAGGAAGCCGTGCGGTCCGCGGAGAGGGCCGGGCGCCGCCTGGACCCCGCGCCCCGGCTCGGCCCCGCCCCCGGCCCCGCCCCGCCCCGCGCCCCGCCCCGCCCCGCGGCCCCCCAGCCTACCGCCGAGCCCCACGGCAGAGGCGGCGCTGGGAGCAGAGTCCGGCGGCCGCGTGCGGGCTGCGCGTGCTCCGTCTCCGCGTCCGCCGCCCGCCCCCGGTGCGCCCCGCCGCCCGCGCCCCCAGGTAAGCGAGCGCCCCGCGCCCCGAACGCCACCCTGGCGGCGAGCCCCGGCCCCGCCCCCGCGGCCATGGCGGCCCCGGCCCCCATCCCCCCGCCCGGGGCGGCCTCTCGGGGCTCCTCATCCGGTCCCAGGCCCGGGCCGCCGCCCCGAGACAGCGCTGTCCCCCGAGGGTCGGCGCGCCGCCAGCCGAGCGCGGGGAGCGGGGAGCGGGGAGCGGGGGAGGCGGACGTGCGGACGCGAGCGGCGCGGCGGGGCGGGGGTCAGACGCCCGGGAGACCGCGCCGAGCGCCCGCGGGGCGCCACCGACGTGCGCGCGCCGGGATGCAGCGGGGCCCCGGCCTCGGAGCCCGGCTGCGTAGACGGCTGCGACCCGGTAAACAGCCCGCGGCCGCTCGGCCCGCGCTGGGTGCGGGAGGCCAGCGCCTCGGGGAGATGGAGTAAGTGAGGGTCGGGGAGCGATTCGCGCAGAGGGGGTCCTCCGGGCCCGAGCGCACCCGCGGAGCCAGGTCTTGAGGCAGGGCCCCGCCGGGTGTGTTTGCAGGGCACAAAAGAGGCCAGCGTGTCCGAAGCGCCGTAGGGGAGGCTTGGAGGTGGGGAGAGGTTGGCCCGCGCCTCGGAGATGGCGGGGACTGCGTGGATTCCATTCTCCGGCCTGGGGGGGGCCACGGGAGGCTTAGACCAAAGTGAGTAGCCGGGTCCTGGTGCGTCTTAGGACGGTCCCCCGCTGTGCGCAGGAGGGATGGGGGGAACCCTGGAGGAGGCTGCTGCTTTGGACCCCACCGGAAGGGGTGGTGGAAAAGAGGGTGACCCGGGGAGGAGGGGGTGCATTTTGGCAGAAGAACGTCGTCTGCCTCCCCTGCCTGCTCAGAAGTGGGGCGTGAAAGGAACCTGCGAGGAGATTTCTGGCGCTGGCGGTTGGGAGTGCGCAGGGGCCTTTCCTTGCTGGGATGGGGAAACTGAGGGAGAAGCAGATGGGGTGGGGCTGTGTCTGGCTGAGTCTGACTTGCAAAACCGTGAAATACCACCTGATGGGGGAGGCTCCTGGAGACCGACTCCACACCCAGGCGGGGTGTCCTAAGGCTGAGTGCAGGAGCCAAGCTCGCCCCACTCCCGTGACCTGGATCTCTTCTAGGGAGGCTGCTCCAAAGACATCCTGGAGTATGGGGTTGCTTTGGAAGCTCCCAAGGCCCCCAGTCTGGACTCAGTCCCTTTCCAAGAGCAGCTGCTGCATATGAACATGGCTGAGGTGGCAGGGGGGATGCCAGGATCCTCACTCAGCACAGCTGAGCCCCAGCAGGCTAAGCCAGGACCTTTGCTGCCTGCTTTCCCAGCTCACCTCCTCCCAGCAGCCGCGTCTTGACAGGGGAGAGAAGAGGCGGTGGAAATGAACTGGGAGACTTGGTCATTGAACTGGCCTTGTGGCCCCAGGGAAAGTTTTCTGAGCTTCAGTTTGCCCATCTGGAAAATGGATCAGTAGTACCTATGCCTAGGAGTGTTGTTCTGATCAAAGGAAGCCTTGGCTAGGAAAGGGCTTGGCTGATCCCAGCCTGCTGCCCGAGGAGGGAATGGGGATGGGGGAGGACGCCAGAGCCAGTGGGAATTCACAGCGTGATGAGCCCCCATTTCCAGCTCCGAGAAATGGGAGCGCTGTGTAACCGTGCCCACCTCCAGACCCAGGGCCTTCAGCAGATTGAGTGAGTCAGGCGTGTAAAGTGTTTAGTTGGCCCAGTGCCTGGCTTGGAGCGATCGCTGTGCTCAGGAGCCACTGGGCTCCTTAGTTGGCAGGGGGGAGCAGGAACGGGCCTCCCACCCCCCTTGGGATGCCCACGGGAAAGCAGGCGCCTGGGGACAGGCTCCTCTGTTATCTGGGCACCGCGGGCTGCTCTCTCTCCGGCTGTCTGGAGGCTGCCTCTGACCTGTCCTGCCTGTTGGGAGTTCGGTGCCCTCAGGCTAGTGACTTCACCTCCTTCTTGCTTCAGTTTCTTCACCTGTAAAATGGGACTAATAGCAGTCATCACCTCAGAGGTGAGCACAGCGCCCAGATGCTAATAAGCACCTGGTGAAACAACAGATGCCTGGATGTCTGGGGGGAGGGAGCCCAGGGGAGCAGCCTGATTCACCCTGGGGCCCTCCCCAGGGAAGGCTTCTTGGAGGAGGTGATCATTGGTGGGTTAACAAGGATGATGAAGAGTTAACAGGGTGGAGAGAGCAGTGCTCAGAGAGGTGGAGGGGAGAATCCACACGGTGCAGGAACTAAGTAAGAGACCAGCCTGGATGGAGGTGGGGATGAGGGAGGAATGCATGGACCCTGGAGAGATTTGAAGGGGGATTGGTAGAGCAACCACCCACTGGGGGAGCAGGTTCAGGTGCAAGCCGGCCATGTGTCCAGCATCTGGAAATTGGGATGCTGCTAGACCCCCAGGTGAAGGCGAGGTGCAGGGTGGGCTTAGAAGAAGCCAGCTGGGGGCTTGGGAGACATCCCCACCTGGGGGGATTGAGCAGAGAGAGGGCAGAGGGAAACAGAGTCGGTGGCAAGCCAGAAGCCAGGGGGAAATGGTCAGCTCTGCTGAGTTTCTGAATCCTCTGCTTGAATAATTCAGTGGTAGGGATCTTACTCCCTTACTTGGCTGTCTTTCCCACCCCCGCCCCACCCCAAGCCATTCAGAAGGGACTCTTCTTTGCCACACTTGAATAGGCTCTGACCAGAGCAGCATAAAGGAGGCCTTTCCCCTCCTTCGATCTCGGCTTCATACCTTTGTTAATATGAGACCATCATACCAGTTCCCCGCAATGAATGGGCAGGATCTCAGCTCTCTCCCCACCCCATCGTGGGGCCCCAACCCCATATTTTGCCCCAGGATCCCATGACTGTGTATCTGAGGAGAGGCCAGGCCCCTGCCTGGAGAACCCCTCTATCCTGTGCTTGTCGCCCCCCGCCCGTGTCTGTTATGTACTTATCCAGCACATATTTATGAAGTGCCTGCAGTGGGAGCCATCTGGGCTGGGCGGTGAACGAAAGGAAGCTCCCCTGCTGCCCGCTACAAAACGGAGCTGGTGTTTGGGGAGTCGGGCCATGGGTGTGCAACCCGAAGGATGAGAGGAACGTTCCAAGCAGAGGCACCAGCATGTGCAAAGGTCCTCAGGCTGGACCAGGCCTGGCATGTCAGAGGCCAGTGTGACTGGCTCCGAGGGAGCAAGGGAGACAGAGTGGGCAGAGGGGCAGCCGCAGAGAGCGAAGATTCTCAGGGTCCCCCGGTCCAACAACAGCAGCCCCCGGGAGCCTCCTTGGTTGGAGGGTAAGAGGTTGTTGGGTCTCTTGCAATTGGCAGGGTACTTGGTCCCCTGTGCACGGGTTGCTCCTGGAACCCTGATGGCCAAGGAGGCTGGCAGGAGGAAGGAAGAGAATCCACCCCTCTTCCCGGTGGGCAAGCCTTCCTGCATGTGATGGGGCTCAGCTGACCTGGAAGACTTCCCGGAGGAAGTGAAGTAGCCGGGAGACGGCACAGATAGGGGGTGTGGAGGCAGGGAGGAGGCAGGGGGGCCATGAGCAGTGGCAGTGACCGGGCCGGCAGGTCAGGCAGGGCACAGAGCTGGGTGTGAGCAGGATACACTGAGAGAGGGAACCCAGATCCAGGAGGGCGGGCAGCAGAAACCAAAGCAGGTTGTATTTTGAGGATGGTCCCGCCATCAGCCTGCCGTCACTCCCTTTGCAGGTGGAGGAGAAAGAACTCGCCCTCCTTCCCTCAGTGCATGGGGATAGGGGCCCGGTCCCCTGGGTCTGGTCACCCCTCCCGCCCCCACCACTTACCCAGGCCTGCCCCACATCTCAGCAGCTTCAGAGGCTTTAATGAGGGGATTCGGACCCTTGGACTCGAACGTCGATTGGTGGTCCTGCTGCTCCAGGACCCTGTGGCCGCAGCTGGCCTCCCCACCCCCATCCCTCTCCACACTGGGGGTGGGTGCGACCGAGGGCAGCTCCTCTTGGCCCTGGCTTCTGTAGGACAGTGATCCTGGCAGATGCTGGAGAGCTACAGCTGGAGCGAGCGAGTCTAACTAAACTCTTTGGAGAGGGCAGGGGACAAGGACAGGGACTGAAGGGGAACATGGGCAGGACAAGCTCTGGAAACGGCTACCTCTGGATCTCATTTCTCCATCTGAGAGGTTGGTGGGGGGGGCCCTAATATAAGGCGGTCGCCTCCCTGCCCTCGCCTCTTCCCACAGGCCCCTCTGTTCCAGCCCCGCAGGCTTTGTCCCGTAACATGAAGCTACTGAGCTTGGCCCGGCCTCAGGGCCTTTGCACGGCCTGTTCCCTTTGCCTGGAAAGCTCTATGCCCATGGAGTCCTCATCCCTTTTCTCAGCCATCACCTTCTTAAGGAGACCATCCTGACCTTCCTGTTTAAAATTGCAGCTCCCACTGC